TACGGTTAAATATCGTGAACGGTACAGAGTTCGTAAATCTCTGTACGGTACAGAGGGGATATTTTCGTCCAATGTTTTTTATACTTTGTAATGAATTCAAACAAATAAAAAACGTATATTCGTAGCCATGGACAAGATTTAAAATGTAATCAACCGTTTTATTCATCCATGATTTGTACAAAGATCGTATAGTTTGTAAGTGTATAAAGCATTTTCCACATTAAGCTTTCAATATAGATTCTTAAACACAAAATATCAAATATATCTTTAAGTGTAAAAATCGATTTTTTTACTGTAAATGGTAACTTCCTGTAAAAACTTAAAGGGGCACCCTTCCAGTTAAGATTAATTTTACAACAAATTTACTTTCTGGATTAAAATAACAATGGATAACAAAAGATAAATTAACATTGTAAACAACATAAACAATAGTGTCCCATGATTCTTTGGTGCAATCCAATGGATTGAGCGGTTCCCCTTTAAGATGCCTATTTTACTAGTATTTCCTGTACCAGTCACCCACCCCCTGTCCCCACTCTTACAGCATGCGGTCAATTTCTTATTGTACACGCAGTTTACGGTAAACCTGGTTTATACCTCTTGTCGAAAACACAGAGTTTGGTCAATCTCGTGCACAGTGTAGCGTACGGGATATATTACGTTTCGTCCACATATTTCAAAGGTTGACGCCGCGACACGTATTCAGCTGTGATTGACACTCTATTGTACAACTACAACAAAGAGGGGAACATACACTGTCCCTAATTCAGTTCAACCACGGTCACTATTTTTTAGTAACTGTGGTTCAGCCCAAGCAAGGCACGTTTTTTAAAAAAAATAAACATGACATACCAAATATGATGAACTTGTGTAATTCAGAAAAAAAAGGTTGTCATTTGTTCCGGCTTGGAGCCTGATGGTAATTTTAGGGAAAACATTTACATAACCAGGGCGAGTTGCGAGACAAAGCATTTGTTGTTTCTGTTTGGAGCTTAGACTGTCGACAGTCCCTCTGGCCTTACGTGTGTGTGCTTTTTTTATTAATATTAATCAAACGCCGTAGGCGTTTGCGAAATGCCGAAGGCATTTCAAGCGAGGGCCTAGACTGTCGACA